TCGATTTAACAGTGGAGGGTATTTAAACTACGTTTAGAGACAGACAGCTAATGGTGAGATTAGATAGCAGTAGTTGCTGGGGGAAACTAGTACAGAAATTAATTATTCGGTGATAGGGAGACATGAGGGAACCATCCACACTTAATAAGTTAGTAAAGTAAGCAAAGAGTAACTGTCCGATAGTGAAAGGGAGTAGAACTGGATTATAGATGCCGTAGCAAGTAAGACAGGATAGTAACACATGTTATACTGATAGGTACCAACGATAATAGGGAGAAGACTTCCAAGAAGAATAACACTGATAACACTGACGTCACACTTGGCACCAGCTCCCCTCACCTGGCTTGAGTCACGCATCTGTTTCTCGAAGAAGAAGCAAAAAAGAAAACTTGTGATAATAACAAGGCAGTGACGTCTACATGTTCTTCTGGCGAACAACAGACGTGCTATTCCAAGTCTCATTTTTATAAGTTTGACAATTTTCAAAATATATTTGACTCATTTTCCCCACAGAGCAAGAGCGTACCTTCTCTTCATATTTACATTAAATGCTATTATGACCTGGAATAGCGGCTTCTGTTGACTCTCCATTACGTGAATGTTTGACCTGACTCTTTAGTGTGACGAAGGACCCACAGCCTCACCTATTTTTTATCGACGCCTTCTGAAACAGGACGTGACGTGTTGATAACATGGTTACTGTGACTGTGGGTTCTCCATCTTTTATTTAAATTTAAGTTTTATTTTTAAGATCTTTCTCTAGATGATGAATATGTTTTTTTTTTTTGTTTTTTTATCTGTGCGTTTTCTAAGCGCTGACCTAGTAGGTTTTGCCTCCTATGGACAAGTATATTTCTATACAAAACGAGAGAAGAGCTAACCCATTTTCTATCTTTTGATGTGCTATGATAATATCTTCTACGGGCTTCCAAAGACGCTTCACAGACCTCACTACTGATAGAGACTGTCCCCGAGCACTGGCCGAGACCTTCCTCAGGTGGGACTCGCGACGGAGGCGGGACGTTCTCCTCCGCCTTCCCCTCCCACTTGTCGCCTCCCACGCCCACTCTCCGCAGTCCCTTTTCCCACTCTGCCCCACCACCCCACACCCGACCCTGTTCCCTTCCTTCCTCCCCCCCAACTACGCCCTTCCCCACTCTCCCTCCCGCCCGGCGTAGTCTCCTGCGGCTGCCTTCAGGAGTGCCCGAAGTCCCGCCTGAGGAAGGAGTCGACTGCCGCTCAGGACTCTTCCGAAACACGACAGACTTCAGGACAGACAAAACTTCAACTTCACACCTCTAGGACGGTCCTCTGGAAAATCAGAGTATTTTTTAATTATTTTCTTTCTTATTATTAATAATCATTATCATTTATTACCGTTTATTTTTTTTTTGTTTACCCGTTTTACATTCAGTTGTCTTTTCTTTTCATTTCATTTATTTTGAATAACAGCCCCATATATGCAATGGCTGTCAATTAATCAACGTTATACTTACTTTTAAAAAAAAGTAAATAAACAAAAATATCAAAAGAATTATGATTTTCCAGTGTAAAAAAGAGAGAGAGAAAAAAATCACATAACATAACAGATAACAACTATTAAAAACTGACACATTACGCAGATCAGTGGCAAGGGTAGCAACACCTCTCACAGGATACCATTTCGTGATCATCAAAGTTAATTTACTCCATCAATTACTTCAATTAATGACTCGAGATGCCCTTGGACCTGTGCCCGGCTGGAGGCGGTCGCGCGTGCCAGGACACGCTTCAGGACCCACGCCTACGGCACCGTCACTTCCTCCTGCCGGGTGTTGCGGATCCTGTGGGAGAATGCGTGCCGCCCTTGCCCCCCCGACAGCACCTGCGGGTTATTGTGACGTCACCAAGCACGTGATATGGAGTGCTGGTGACGTCACGCCTTCAGACCTCGGTGTCGCGCCGATTCTCATGCCTCAAGCTTCAGTTCAGTCATCTGACTCCCATCGCGAGTTGTCTCTGCACACCACACCCTGACTCCCGCCACACTCTATCTATCTGTCTATCTATCTATCTATCTATCTATCTACCTATCTATCTGTCTGTCTATCTATCTCTATCTCTGTCTCTATCTCTTTCTCTCTCTCTCTCTCTCATTCTTGTTCTCTCTCTCTCTCTCTCTCTCTATCTATCTATCTATCTATCTATCTATTTCTCTATCTATATATATTATGTGTCTGTTTGTCTATATATCTACATGTCTGCCCTCTCTCTCTCTCTCGCTTTCTCTCTCTCTCTCTCTCCCTTTCTCTCTCTCTCTCTCTCTCTCTCTCTCTCTCTCTCTCTCTCTCTCTCTCTCTCTCTCTCTCTCTCTCTCTCTCCCATCCTCCCTCCCCCTCTTCCCATCCTCCCTCCATCCCTCTCCCTCTCCCCCATCCTCCCTCCCCTTCTCCCCATCTCCTCATCCTCCCTCCCATCTCCTCCCCTTTCCTCCCTCCCTCCCTACCTCCCTCCCCTCCTC